GGAACCAGTTAGAACCGGTTAGATCCGACTGGAACCAGTTAGAACCGGTTAGATCCGACTGGAACCAGTTAGAACCGGTTAGATCCGACTGGAACCAGTTAGAACCGGTTGGAACCAGTTAGAACTGGTTAGTTCCGACTGGAACCAGTTAGAACCGGTTGGAACCAGTTAGAACTGGTTAGAACCGGTTGGAACCAGTTAGAACTGGTTAGAACCGGTTGGAACTGGTTAGAACCGGTTGGAACTGGTTAGAACCGGTTGGAACGGTAGAAGCAGCACACCTACCTTCAGCTTCCTCCTGGCATTGAACTTCTTCAGGCACTCCACTGTCTCCTGCCTGTGGACCATGGCGGCCACTGTGGAGCGTTGCTATGGATACAGAGACAGCAGAAGGTCAAAGGTGACTCTCAGGAAGGGGTCAGAGGGCTGCAGGCGGCTCAGAGACGTACACAGATCCAGGGGTGTTTGAGGGCGTCGGCGGCTGTGACCCTCTTGGCCGGGTTGATGGTCAGCATCTTGTTGATGAGGTCTTTGGCCTCGGCCGTCACCGTGTCCCACTCTGGGGACGGGAACTGCAGGGACACGGACACGGACACGGTTAGCAGAACGGATCCGGTTCTGACCCGGAGCTCGGGGTTCTACGGCAGCGCGGCTCACGTCATAGGCTCCGGCTTTTATCTGCTGGTAGAGGCGGTGCTGGTCCTCGTCCCAGAACGGAGGGTAGCCCACCAGCAGGATGTAGAGGATCACCCCTGGAACAGAACCAGAACACCCGGGTCACAGAACCGGGCCAGACCGAGCGTTTTCAGACATGACATCAGCAGGAACATTTACGACAGATGATCAGAGCAACAGAACATCTGGTTCCACCGATCCAGATGTTCAGCTGGTCTTTATGAAGCAGATGGAACCAGAACCGCCAGCAGGTCCCACCAGAACCGCCAGCAGGTCCTACCAGAACCGTCAGCAGGTCCTACCAGAACCGTCAGCAGGTCCTACCAGAACCGTCAGTAGGTCCTACCAGAACCGCCAGCAGGTCCTACCAGAACCGTCAGTAGGTCCTACCAGAACCGCCAGCAGGTCCTACCAGAACCGCCAGCAGGTCCTACCAGAACCGCCAGTAGGTCCTACCAGAACCGCCAGTAGGTCCCACCAGAACCGTCAGCAGGTCCAACATCTGGAAGCGTTTCTCTGATTCTAGTTTCATTCTGTTAAAACTGATGGACCCTGAATGGGATCAACATGGAGGACGGCTCACCACAGGCCCACATGTCCACCGGCTTCCCGTACGGGTCCTTCCTCAGGACCTCTGGAGACAGGTACCCCGGCGTCCCGGCAAAACCTGAAACCACAAACACCAGGGTTAAACCGGGCCGGGTGCCGGGTCCATTAAAAGGTTCTACAGCATCAGAACCAACCAGGCAAAACGCCATCAACCATTCCTCTTTGGGCCGGGCTCCAGTTAGCCCGCAGGTTGGACTGGCCCGGAACCCAGCCGGTTCTGAGCAGAACTCTGGTGTTGTTTCTACTCAGAACCAGGACGGTTCTAAGAACCGGGTCATGAGCAGGACACCTAGTTCTGAAGCGGCCAGAAGGAATCCAGCTGATGGTAAACGGGGAACAGAGCCAGAACCGGTTCCATCCAGAACCAGATCCCTGTGACAGAGCAGCTCCGTCGGACCGAACCAGGTTCTAACGGAGCGGAAGCATGCAGTACTCACCGAACCAGGCCTGCTGGTCCCCCTGGACCTCGATGGCCAGGCCGAAGTCCGCCAGTTTGACCGCCGCCCCCTTCAGCTTGCTGGCCAGCAGCAGGTTCTCCGGCTGGAGGAGAAACCGAAACATGTCTGATCATCGGAGCAAAAGGAACCAGGAGGAGACGCAGACCGGGACAGGGTCTGACTGTCCATCCTATCCCCTAATCCCTCACCCCTATCCCCTAATCCCTCACCCCTAT